TAAATGCGTTTGTATAACTCATTTTCAAGAAAAACCAATGATGGTTTAATTTATGTTTCACAATAGATAGTGAATCAAAAAGTATACAATTTTTAATGTAGTTTCTGTTTGGGTTATGCAAAAATAAACATGCACTAAATAAATGCTTGTAAATTTGTGCATATTTTCTGCAATGCAGTTTTCTTCTGTGACAATTGAAGTTGGTGTATGTGAGTGTTGGATCTATTGAACGATCTTTTTTTTTTAACACTAGTAGTAGTGCTCAGGTTTTGTTTTGAAAATATGTGAATGTGTGACTTTTCACATATTCACACAGTATGTGCATCTTCTATAAAAATAAAGATAAAATTGAACATTTGTGAGTGAAGGTTCATTTGGTTTTGCAAGTGTTTTTTCATGAGATATTTCTCATTTGTTTTGTTTAGTGTGCGGTTTTTCTTAAATGCACACTAGAACAAAGAATATAATCAATCATTGGAATACATGAATGCATAACACAGGCAGATAGGCCAGTGTTATTTTGAGTGTGTGTGTGTGTGTGTGTTATCAACACACTATTGTGTGTGTTATCAACACACACACAAACAAACAAACAAAGACACACACACACACACATGCATACACATATAAATCTGTGTGAATGCACAAAGACTTATATGTGTGCATCAATATGTACAAAGGCTAGTATATACTTCATGTGTTAAACAACACATACACACATAATTTATACCAACCAACCCCCACTTGCATCCCTCCCTTCCCCACAACTTTATTATTGCAGTTCATTGCAGCCCTTTCTGACCACAAAAAAATTTTAAAAATGTTATGAAAAATATTAAAAACACTCAACTCCCATTTACCTCACTTGCAGTTCGTCATCCCTTCTGCCACTGCAGAAAAGATCTGTAAAAAAATATCAATCATGAAGGGATAGGGTGATGATTCAAAGCAGATGAAATACCTTTTCACAAAAATTTACCAGGTCTGTCACTTGCAGAATTTTGAAGCCATTTGTGACCAAGCCATCCTGTTCAATCTAGCAGCATGGATCTATGAACAATGGAACATTCAGATAAAAATCAGATCAGATCAGCCAAAAATCCAATTCACAGTGAATACTTTTCAGCACTCTAAAAGCCAAAAAGTATTCACACTCACCATTTTCCTTGTGCTGAAGTTTGTGAGAAAAGATTACCATCCTTCTGGGGATCCT